CTTTTCGACTGGGCTCAAAATCCCTTTTTTAACCATATCATCTAACTCTCCCTTTAACTGGTCTTTTATAGCGTGAGGTACTCGTCGGGGTGGTAGAATAGATGGGGTTACTGATGAATCAGTTTCTAAATGGACTGTTCCAGGGAATGTTCCGAGGGATCCATCAAATATGTCAGCAAACTCATCTCGAATAGATTTCGTTTCTGACTGAGGTAACCCAGTGATAACATTCATGCAAACAAACTTGTCAGTGTTTACTGTTATGAGCCCCATCTGTTGTGAAGCTTTAGAACCCAACAGAGGAGTCAAATCATCATTATCTACTACCACAAATTCTATAGAATACTTCCTGTTATTACTTGGGTTAATGACTTTCAAACGGCATGTTCCTATAGCTTCCACTTTTGATGAATTCCACATTCGCAGACTAACAGGACCATTGTCTATTTTTTTTCCTTGTACGAGGCGTTTAGAAATTGTATTAACTGAGGCACCACAGTCAACTTGAAATCTTACAGGCTGATTATCAATTAACATATTGGCATATATTGCAGCGGACGACTTCCCCCCGAGGGAGTTTATTCTTGAGACTGTACTTATAAATTCGGTCTCTGATGACAGTTCAGACGAATCTGTCTCTTCAACAATCCTAATTTTCTTATCCTTTCTAGGGCATTTAGCAGCAAAATGATTACTACGCTTACATAAATTGCAAGTCTTACCTAAGGCAGGACACTTTGATTTCACCATTTCGTGTTTACGTCCACAAAATTTGCACTCTCGTATACCAGAATATTGTTCCTTTTGAACTGGATTATATTGCCTCTTTTTCTTTTCAAAGTTCTTTCGCATCTGCTGAATCTTTCCTTCTTCTCCCATTGCTTTTATTTGATGTTTAGTTGCTTCTGCCCCTTTGCAGATATCTATGCAACGATCCAGCGATAAATCTCTTTCTTGTAGCAATTTCTTTCGAGTATTCGGGTCATTAACACCAAGGACAATTCGGTCTCTCAGCAGACTGTCATGTAAATCGCCAAAATTACATGTGCGAGACAAGGCTCTTAATGTTGTTATATACTGAGCGATACTTTCATCGGGCTCTTGATTTCTTCGATTAAAAATGTATCTTTCATAAGTTTCATTTAGTGTCCCGATAGCCAGCTGTTCAAAATTTGAGAGAATGCTCTGTAATGTTGGTTCGTCTTCGAATGTCATTGTGTTGTAGGCCTTAAGCCCTTCAGGACCAACAGCATGTAGAAACATAGCGACACGAAACTTTTCTGGGCGTTCGTCAAGTTGTGCTACAATGGCATAATTTTCCCATTGCTGTTTCCAAAGTCTCCAGATTTCAGCGAGATTATCACCAACCATACGAAGCGGTTTAGGTGGCGAAATCCCCGTTAATTGTACTTGTTGAGGCTTGGCATCAGACGAAGTAGGTTTTTCCATGTTATTATTTAACTTCCCGCTGCCACCATGTTATGTTTTAGAACGTTACTTTATTGTAAGATCAAGATATACAAATATGGCTGCCATTTATACTGTTATTGTACTGCAGGCTCACATATTCTTACATGTACTTCATATAACATTACAATAATCGGTCAAATTTCCAAATATGTGAGTTCCAGTAAGCGTTGCACGACAGCTGATGGTGGGCAACAGTTGAAAAAGGGTAAAAACATAATTAAGATAATTTTCTCACTCTGATAAGATTAGTAGCTACGATGCGTTTTGACTTTGCGGCGAGCATTTCACAACAGAGCAGATATATTCGGGCTGGTATCGACGGAATAAACTGTCACCCGAGTGAAACGTTGAACGTGTAAAATTTGGGTGTGTGGGGATTTGCTTTGCGCTAGCAGGCAGCACGACATTTTGTAGAGACCATTAGACTATTGTTATTTAGTTGGTAGGACTGTAATAATAAATAATTTGTATTGATTATTGTAATGCACAACTAAATGACACGCGTATACATTGCTTTGTGTTGTCTTTATATAAAACGATCCTACCTTGCGAGCAGAGGTCAGGTTTCATTTGATCGTTATATGGTTTTGGAGAAGTACAGCCGTACAGGACGTTTTACGCCTGATTCTAAAAGCTCACTCACACTCAATGAGTGAAAGTTCAATCTGAGCTTCCCTTAAGTGTCAATGCTGTTTTTGAATAGCTGGAGGGTGAGTAGTCACATAGTAAGGTACGACACTCACCCTCCAGCTATTCAAAAACAGCACTGACACTAAAAGAAAGCTCAGATTGAACCTCCACTCTTTGAGTGTGAGCGTGAGTAATCTTTTAGAATACAGGCGTTAGTTTTTGCCAAAAAGTCAGTAGAAAGTTTTGCCTTGCTGATTAGTCAAGATGGTGACTTTTTGACATAAATGACGTAATTAAGCACTTTCGGTTTCACTCTCCGACGAGATACATCAGTTTTGCTTTCGTATTCTCCTTCTGAGAAATGAATATATGCAAAATAAGCAGCTTACTGCAGCTCTGTCAGTTCATGTCATTGGTCGTCTCAAGTGACACTAAACAGGTACGTTTGTTTAACTGATAACTCAATGGTCGATACGCCTAAACAGTAAATAAGATAATCGTATGGTAGTGGTGGTAATATAACCGTATGCACGCAAAAAGTAACATTTTTAGCTTTGCCAAAGGATGCGACATTAAGCTTTAATACACAAAGCCAATTATGACGAAACTGTACGAATAAGTAAACTGTCTTTGCCAGTGTAGGTAGTGCCAATCGAATGAACAAGCTCTCGTTGGTAGGGATGCAACTACCTGAAAAATATAAGGAGAATTTCGACGTTCCGAGCAAAGGCCCTTCGCACTTCGCACTTCGCAACTCAGACCTGCATGGGGACGAACGAAAGCTTGTTAATGTACGAGTAAGTTAATGTCGTATTTCTGAACAATAAACAGCAGTCAATATCTACACGCTAATTGTATTTTGATACATTTTCTTAATGTAAATATATTATTTATGAAGCTGCAACAGATGTTTTATTTTTTGGAAGCGAATTCCGTTACACTAGGAACAATTAGACCTTCGCAAAGTGCCAAAGTTCTTTTCAAATGACGTCACTTGAACAGTAGGAGATTTCAGTAATTATCAGATAAATATGACGCACCGTATATTGTATTTTATATAATACCTTATTGAATTCTGATCGTTTAATTGGCTGTTATGGTCGCGTGATATTGGATAGAAAATTCCATTTCCCAAGAGTGCAATGGAATACGTTCCATTGAAACAATTATTGGATGAGGCTGAGCATGACATCAACAATTATTCAGACCTCGGTCAATGTTCCTCATCCAATAATTGTTTATTATTTTCGCGCGCTTTTGGGTTTGAGATGATGGCCGCGCCGGAGCTTGGGCACGACAGCGTCCAATATTTTTTTTGGATGCAAGTTCGATAAAAAAAAAACTATTATTGGACGCTAAGCACGTCAGCAGCTGAAATTACGTAATAAGTACGAATATTTAACAATTATTCGCCAAAGGCGAGGTGATTATATCGGGGAATATTTACCGAGACCGAAGTCGCGGTCCCTGCCGGAGTTCCACAGGGTACAAAATTGGGCCCATAGTTATATTTAATAATGATCAATGAATTAAGAAACCTCTAGTGGTGACATGTGGAAGTTCATAGACGACACGACCATAGACGAATTATTAGTCAGCAAAAACAGCGAACGTAGCCAATCCAGATCACAGTTATGTTACAACGACCTATCAACTCAAATTTCTGAACCAAAATTCGGTCAACTGAACGAAAAGAAATGGAAAGAATTACGCATTGGTTTACTTTTGGTAAACCAAGTGCCGATTTCGATCCAGTTATTAAATTGTGAGCGATATTCCTTTATCAAACCATCGTGAAAGCAAGAAAGTGATTGTATTTTTTGACACAACTTAAACGTGCCAAAGTTGGGATTGATGAATTGGTTCTATTTTATAGCACATGCATTAGACCAATTTTGGAATACTGTTTTTCATAACAGTTTGTCTAACTACTTATCTATAATGATCTAGAAATGGTTCAGAAGAGAGCGTTGAGAATAATCCGCCCCTGGATCCCTTATACCGACGCGCTGTCACTCGCCGGTCTTCAACATCTTAGCACCAGAATTAGAAAGAAGATAACCATGCAATAAACTTTTCCAGGACATTATGATGGACGAAAATCATAAACGTCACGGATTTCTTCCACCCCGAAACACGTGCGTCACCGATCTTAGGACCAAACATAAGTTTAACGCAAACTTCCGAACAGATCGTTATAAAAACAGCTTTTTTATTGCTAATGCATTAAAATTCTAGCCAATTTGAATAACACTAAACAGTAGAACTGGCCATTTTAATAATAGTCCTTACAGTAACCTCTTATCTCTTGTTGACCAAACTTAGTTGGTTTTATGTAATTTGTAATATAGGAATGTAACCATTATATATATATATATATATATAATGGTTACATTATGCTACATATATTGTTTTGTTGTAGTAGATAATAAAGTGCTCAACACTAGTATTATAGTAGAAGTAATGTAATGTTTATACAAAGCTACGGTGACAACAACTGATGACGGAAATACAAAAGAGTATATTGGAATGACGGCCAACCCATTCAAAGAAAGATACGCCAACCACAAAACGTCATTCAACCTCTACAACCACTCGTCTGACACAAAGCTTTCGAAGTACGTTTGGAGTCTGAAGCAAAGTAGAAGAAATTACAGCATCAAGTGGTCCATCTTGAAACGAGCTGCTGCGTACACGCCTGGTGGAAAGCGATGTGGCCTCTGCTTGGAAGAGAAATTATGTATCCTGAAAGCGAAAGGAAACAATTCACTGAACACGCGATCAGAGTTTTATGCAAAGTGCTGTCACAAGGAAAAATTTAGCGCGTGCAAATTCAAACCGGTGACGATAGACAAACCTCCACGTCAGCGAGCGACCGTTGATATTGACGAATCAAACACTAACTGAATTAATTGCCTGAAGATCGTCTTGAATAAGGCGTGAAACTTGAGTAGCAATAATTAATTTTAAGATATAAATATATCTTGCTATCTTGCTCTACTATAATACTAGTGTTGAGCACTTCTACTACAACAAAACAAGGTATATATATATATATATATATATATATATATATATATATATATATATATATATATATATATATATATATATATATATACAGGGTGTATAAAAAAACGCAACCTCGGAATTTCCTAAGAAATCACTTTGCAATTCTTAAGCATAACCCTGGGAATTGAAATCGAATTGCTAATAGATCATATTACTGTTGTTGTGCATTAAATAAATGCATAAATTTTGCTTTATGCACTCGCGTGTGCAGTAATTTTGACAGTTGTGCTATTTTAAATTCCCAGGCGCCTAAAACTTTTGTGTTTAAAACAATGTCGATTTCTTGGGAAATTCCAAGGTTGCGTTTTTTTTATACACCCTGTATATATATATATATATATATATATATATATATATATATATATATATATATATATATATATATATATATATATATATATATATATATATATATATATATATATAGATAGATAGATAGATAGATAGATAGATAGATAGATAGATAGATAGATAGATAGATAGATAGATAGAGATAGATAGAGAGATAGAGAGATAGAGAGATAGAGAGATAGAGAGATATAGAGATATAGAGATATAGAGATATAGAGATATAGAGATATAGAGATATAGAGATATAGAGATATAGAGATATAGAGATATAGAGATATAGAGATATAGAGATATAGAGATATAGAGATATAGAGATATAGAGATAGAGAGATATAGAGATATAGAGATATAGAGATATAGAGATATAGAGATATAGAGATATAGAGATATAGAGATATAGAGATATAGAGATATAGCGATATAGAGATATAGAGATATAGAGATATAGAGATATAGAGATATAGAGATATAGAGATATAGAGATATAGAGATATAGAGATATAGAGATATAGAGATATAGAGATATAGAGATATAGAGATATAGAGATATAGAGATATAGAGATATAGAGATATAGAGATATAGAGATATATAGATATAGAGATATATAGATATAGAGATATATAGATATATAGATATATAGATATATAGATATATAGATATATAGATATATAGATATATAGATATATAGATATATAGATATATAGATATAGAGATATAGAGATATAGAGATATAGAGATATAGAGATATAGAGATATAGAGATATAGAGAGAGATATAGAGAGAGAGATATAGAGAGATATAGAGAGATATAGAGAGATATAGAGAGATATAGAGAGATATAGAGAGATATATAGAGATATATAGAGATATATAGAGATATATAGAGATATATAGAGATATATAGAGATATATAGAGATATATAGAGATATATAGAGATATATAGAGATATAGAGATATATAGAGATATATAGAGATATATAGAGATATATAGAGATATATAGAGATATATAGAGATATATAGAGATATAGATATATAGATATATAGATATATAGATATAGATATAGATATATATATAGAGATATAGATATAGATATAGATATAGATATATAGATATATAGATATATAGATATATAGATATACAAATTATACTCCAGCTGTATATATATAGAGCTCGCGGAATCCGATTCATGTGCTCAAAAACACATGTGACCCAAAACCGCCCATGACAGCCCAACCGGTCACGTATGAAATTATTACTGTTGGAACGATGCAGTATTACAATGTAAATAATTTGCGTCAATGCATGCTTATATCATTATATGTGATGTGTTTCCAAAATGTTTTCAACGAAAATTTGTTCGTTTTAACAGACCTATATGAAAATACTTAATTATTATTCTAGTTTGTATCACAACCATAGATATCTTATATACACTAGATAGTGCATCTAATTATTCTGCAATTCAAAAATTGAAGCCGTGATTGCAGTCTCAGGTCGTTCCCATGAAATGAGAAGATTCGTATGTTTTCTATTTCTTAAACAGGGAACTTAACAATGTTTAACCCTATTCCAAATACGTTTTTAAACTATTCAAATAATGAAAGTTATTGTTGTTTTTAAGCGTTTATTAGCAAGTAGGAACGACCAACATGGCCGCCATCTATTCAAATGGGGGTAACCGCTGGAATATTCTTGGCTTCAATTTTACTAAAAGAGATGCGCTATCTAGTGTATATAAGATATCTATGATCACAACTGACAACAAATTTGCGTTCCTTTTCGAAAGTCGACCCAAAAATATCTAAGATTTATTTGGCCATGTTGCTTCGTGGAGACAACATGAATATTTAGCTTTTCTATGTCACCATTCAATGAGGACATAGAAGAACCAATCACAAAGAAGCTGAAGGCGGAATGCCCACGCAGAAAACAAAACCCTTCATTCCAATTCAAAACATCAGCCAATTCATGCGTGAACCAATCTACTATAGCATCAAGTGAATTCAAGTCTATCTGGAAGTTACATCCTCTCCCTGTATTATTAATTAACACATTTATGTAACTTTTCGGGGTTCTTTTCGTTATTTGCATGCAGTAGAATACCATTGGTGAATCATATATAATTTGCTCATGCATATGAAGACAGACAGACTGATATACAGTATGCCCTACAGGGGGATTGGATGGGGTGGGCTCAGGTAATCACTGAAGTGACAGGATGCAAGCCCCCCCCCCCCCAAACAAAAAGTATAGTTCTAATATATACCGAATGTGGGAACTTAGAGACATTTGGTTGCATCGCATTTCTCCAGGATTTCATGGGCTGTTTATATTTGAATTTATTTTACTCACTAGCTGAAGTGACAGGATGCAAGTCTCCCCCCCCCCCAAAAAAGTATAGTTCTAATATATACCCATGTTGGAAATTAGAGACACATATTCATGTGTGGGGGGGGGGGAGAAGGAAGAGGGAATCACGTGAGGGGGGGAATTATTTCAAATGATTAGCAAGCATGCAATATTTTACTAATGCACTGTAATATATATATATATATATATGTATGTATGTATGTATGTATGTATGTATGTATGTATGTATGTGTGTGTATATGTATGTATGTGTGTGTATATGTATGTATGTGTGTGTATATGTATGTATGTGTGTGTATGTATGTGTGTGTATGTATGTATATATGTATGTATATGTATATGTATGTATATATATGTATATGTATGTATATATGCAGCTGAGAGAGAACCTTTATCACATTAAAGGACCACAAACCTAATTTTGAAAATAACCCTACCTGCCATCTTATCAACCCTCGTAAGTCCGAAATCGGCAAAGTAAGTAAACAAATTCTAGACAGAATCAACGCAAAAGTTATCGAGTCTACCGGCATGAATCAATGGAAAAATACGAAATCTGTCCTGACGTGGTTTAATAACATCGCCGACAAAGATCAGCATTCATTTATCGCGTTTGATGTAGTTGACTTTTATCCATCTATTTCCATTGAGCTTCTCGACGCTGCTTTAGATTTCGCATCAAATTACGACATTATTACGGATGAGGAACGAGAAATTATTATGCATGCCAAAACATCATGTTTACACAGTTTACACAGGGGAATTATTGGGGTAAACGGACATCATCTACTCAGAATAGCCTCTTTGATGTTACAATGGGCAGCATCGTGTGAACTGGTGGGTTCATATTTACTACATCTTATCACAACAAAGCATGGAAACAACTTCTATTAGGATTATATAGAGATGACGGGTTAGGAGTCATTAAAGCGACAGCGCGTGAGATAGAAAATATCAAAAAAGATTTGTGTTCCATTTTCAACAAATACGGACTCAAAATCACAATTGAAGCTAACAAGAAAATAGTGAATTTCCTTGACGTTACCCTTAATTTGTCAACCGGGAAATATCAACCACACGCCAAACCTAATAATATACCCCTTTACGTGCACAAGAAATCTAGTCACCCACCTAATATCCTGAGCAATATCCCACTATCTATCAACAAACGCCTAACTGAAATATCATCCGATGAGGAATCATTTCAACGAGCCTCGCAACAATACCAGCATGCACTTGAGAATAGTGGTTATAAACACCAGTTAAAGTACAAGCACCCACTAAATCATACAACCCCTCGAACCCGAAATCGAAGACGGAATATCATTTGGTACAATCCACCATTTAGTAAAAATGTATCAACAAACATTGGACAAACATTTTTGAATATCATCGATGATGAATTCCCGATAGGCCACCCCTTACACAAAATATTCAACCGCAACACTGTTAAAATAAGCTACAGTTGCATGCCTAATATCAAACAAACCATCGACGGACATAACAAGACCAAACTGTCCCAAACCGCCACAACGAGTGAAGAAAGCACATGCAACTGTAGAAAGAAAGAGGAGTGCCCAATGTCCAAAAAATGTTTGGTCGAATCCATTGTATACCAAGCTACAGTTTCTACCAACGACAATAGTCCACCTCAAACATACGTTGGTCTGACTGAAAACGCTTTTAAAACTAGATATTACAACCACAAAACCTCATTTACTTTGTACGAGAAAAGGAACTCCACTGAACTGAGTAAATATGTCTGGCAGTTAAAGCGCAGAGGAATTGAATTTCATATTAAATGGCAAACTTTGAAACGGGCCAAACCCTACAGCCCTGCTTCTAATAGATGTAATCTCTGCCTGTGGGAAAAATACTTTATTATATGTAAACCTGAACTGGCTACTTTGAACAAACGTAATGAATTAGTGTCTTCATGTAGACATGCTAGCTAACATTTAAAGGGCATGCACTCGAGACAGACATATTTTTGTTTTAAATATACCGCGCAATCTTAATAGCTTGGTGTTATGTTATGCGTTGTTAATATTTCCGCGTCCTGTCAATTTTATCAAGTAACAAATTGCTTTGCGTGTGCTTTGTAAATAGGATTAATTTAAAGCTTTCATCCACTTGTACATAAATACTGTAGGTGTTTTGCTGTAGTCATGGCTAATTTATCTGATGAGTGCCACATCTTGTGGCACGAAACTAATAGTAATAAAGATGCCTAGTGGAATTTGTTGGGTCGTTGCACTTATTTAATTATGCTCTGGATATCCATTGAGCACTCTGCCAAATGTTTTTGTAAACAACGAAACCTAATTCTATATATATGTATATATATATATATATGTGTGTATATATGTGTGTATATATATATGTGTGTATATATGTGTGTATATATATATGTGTGTATATATGTGTGTATATATATATGTGTGTATATATGTGTGTATATATATATATGTGTGCATATATGTATGTGTGTATATATGTATGTGTGTATATATGTGTGTGTGTATATGTGTATATATGTATATATGTATATATTTAAAATACTCATTAATAATTCATATATGGCAAATCAGTGACTTTATATATTTAAAATACTCATTAATAATTCATATATGGCAAATCAGTGACTTTATATCTGATAAAGCATGAGGCATTATATAATTGTTCATCCTAATTAATATTCTTTTGTAGTCGTATTTTAAGCCATTTAATAAGCCATTTAAAGAACTTGTAGTCGTGTTTTATCAGATATAAAACACTTGGCTGCACCTTGCGTTTTATATCTGATAAAACACTCCTATGCGTGCTTTAAATAGTACTTATATCATTTGGGAGAGAGCCCTATGCTAAATTCACTGACACAACTCCCACAAAGTTTGTTTGTGCAATTTCATGAGACTTACTCTAAAATGCCAGAGTGGAAATAAATTTTTGTGTTAAACATTTCTTTGTATTTTTTAGGTTAATTTTAACAATCTCAGCACATACTGTGTACTTTTGTATGTATGGCGAACCGAATAGTATATACAAATATGTAATATGCGGTTACGAATACTGGTTTTGTCACTGGAATGTCTTCAGCAGAACTGGAGAAAATATGTTTAAAGATTATGCTTGCTGTATTGAGAACGATTGAGCAATTGGATTATGTCTTTATTTTTTAAGGTGTCATTATGCCGATTATAATAAACTTTTTTGCTGGGTACTTTTGTGTTGTTGTTGTGTTGCTGGTCTACGTATAAAGGTAGTTGTTATAGCTTTCCAATATCCTTGTGTAATTAATGTTCGTTTCTTTGTTAGATAGAATTTGTATAGCCACATTCTTTAATGACTTTTGTTGTAATTCTGGTAAGGCGGCATTTTAGTTGTTGATATGGAAAATCGTTAATAGGCAGCAAGGTATAGTATATTTTTGAGATTTTTAAAGTCTATTTAACTGTATTAATACAGCGAGTTGGTCAAAACTGCAAGGCAGGCCCAACGTTTCGTGACACATCAGTATTCAACTGCGTGTTTGAGGAGATATAATGAGAATCTGGTTGCTTACAAACTAAAATTCCAATTGTAGAAAGGTAAAGAGATTTATATAATTTCTATATACCTTACATGAATGTCTGTACAGTTTAATAATTAAAACTTTCTTTCAGTTTTCTGAATCAGCAGCGATATGGACACATAAATATAACGTGGATAGTTTAATATATAGGTATGTATTTTGTATGTCTGCAAGATTTACTGGCATGCTAGTTGGGTTGCAGAGTGTTGACCCTTAGTGCGCTTTTAGTTAATTACAAATAGTGGCCTTGGATAAAATTACACACACGGAATTGTTTGTATTGTGGGCTTAGCTCGCACACAGTTATCATGCACCGTCGCGCACAAAATAACTTTTGTTGTGTGTCATTCTGGGTAGCCTACAACAACAAGCGAGGTGTTTGATAGCTTGTCATTACTTAGCAAAGGTTCCGTTGCTTTAACAATTTGCCTTGCATTTGTATGTCGGTTTGATTTTCAATTGCAAAATGGTTTTACACTATGTATTTTTTTCTATGGTTTTGTTGCACAAATATTCAGCTTTTTTGAGGCGTCGGCATAAACACTGTGTGCTTGAAACCTTTAAGGGAAGACAACATATATATCGGTTTTGTTTCATCTTTAATAATGAAATACGATTATAGCAGCTGACACCTAATCAATTAGAGAACTGAACAATAGTGCATGCAGGAGAATTAACAGGCTAGATTGGTTGAACATCATATCAATACTATTAGGTGCGTGGATACACAGGTAGAATATCGAAAATCACTTTGGTTTCATTAAATCTAAGGCATGTTCGATGATTTTATGTATTTAGTTGATGTTTAAAAGCATCTTCCTTGTTTTTCAGGTTAAAGATAAACCTCCTTGGACAGCCTGAGTGATATATGGTATTATAGAAACTGTGCGCAAGAAAACAAGGATACATCGTATTTGTCTTCATTTCATTTGCTTAGGCTGTCGCGGTTTTTTTGCTAACATTATCAGTCTGGTTCTTGACATGTGAATTTGAATTCTTGTACAATATTATCTGGATAACCTATATTGATTCACTGACGCGCGGCGTTGACACGCTATTTCACATGCTAAAAATTGGCGTTGTAGTCCGTAATAGAAATGAATTTTGTGAATTTTTTATTCGGACGTGGCTTGTCCACTTGCAAATCATTTTCGTGTGCAAATGCATGATTGATGCTATGATTTGCGCAATCTTGTGATGGCGAAAAAATTCATGTTGAGGGTAAAAAATGAATTTTAGCGTTAAGGTCTAGACACACCGGACGCGATTCGAGAATGCGACACAATTTTTCGATTTTCACTGGCCGATAACTTTGATCCTAGTTTAAACTTTCCAAATATTTAGAAGCACTATAACATTTTGAGTTATTTGGTCTACATATCTCTTAAAATTTGCTCTCATTGGCTGTTTTAATAGCTTTCAAAAACTAAAAAATTGCGTTGCATTGTCGAATCACATCCAGTGTGTCTGGAGTTTTAGGGTTAGGGTTCCGGGTGAAATTGTGGTCGAGTTTTGGGGTAAAGTTGTAATTTAATTGGGGTTAAGGTGCTGCGTGCAGTTCGGGTTGTGGTCCGGGTTTGGGGTGGGGCCGGTGGCAAGGTTTCGGTTTGGGTAGGGGTTAGGGTTCCCGGTGGGGTTCAAATTATAATCCTGGTCGGTACTGGGGTTAAAGTTTGGGGTGAAATTAAGGTTCTGGCGGGTGTTGGGGTTGAGGTTAGGGGTGAGGTTAAAATTAAGGTTCCAGTGGGGGTTGTGGTTCAGATTAAGATCTGAGATGGTTGGGGTGGCATTGTGGAACTGATCGTAAACCCAGATGTAACATTTGATACCACATTTAGCATACCTGATTAAAAGAGAAAGTCAAACTGTATAAGCCGCGATAAATGTGAATTTATGTAAATGTTGTAACAAATTATACAAACTTACAGTCACTTATGCTTATCCTTGAATTTTTAATGCCCTGCAGTCAAGTGTCATATTCCCACGAAGATCCATACACTGAAGGTTAGGAAATACATTCAAAAGTTCTGTCTTGTTAACAATAACAAAACGGTTCAGCTGAAAATCGATGCTCAAAACCCAATCTCTTTCTGTTTTCCACAACCCGCCGACAGTTTCTAATGCTAAGTCACTACAATCCAAAAGACTTATAAAACGCACTTCACAACAATGTGTAGTGCTTGCACAAACAAAAAGAAGCATGCTTAAAGCGTAAAGAAACATTTTCAAAATTATTCACTCAGCTCAGGTTGCTTTGAAGTTTGACTGTTAATTTCAGTGTTTGCTGTTTTATACTATTGATATTTAATAGCTTAATCGTAACCGGAATAGTAATTTTCCTGCAACTACATAAACAATTTGAAAGCTATGCATAAAGTGTGAGAACCACTGAGCGTGTTAAAAAACATCTGATTATTGGAACAATGTTGAAATGCTTTGGGACATTGCCACAAAGGAGGGCCACAGCAATCGATCATGTACCGGAGTACATTTGACTCATGTTAAGAATTCTTGTGTGGATGTGTTGGTCGATAATCAGGCTGTGATCCATGCATGAAATAATCAGGGTGCTCAAAGTGCCCCGTTGAATAACATGTTGAAGATTCTGTTCCAAACCACAACGGAATTGAATCTCTTGCTTCACCTCTCATATATGTTCCTACTCAAGAGAATCCAACAGATCATCCCTCAAGAAGGGTATCCATGCTTGACTCCACGCTTACACCTGCTATTTGGAAAAAATGCAACATGAATGTGGTGGGGATACCGGTCACTCGCATGATCTGATGTTGGTCTCAAATGCGATGCCAGACCTATCCGGATCGCCTCTTCTACACTTCAGCCTGTTTTCCCTCGCCAGGAGCGTTGGCGGTGAATTTGTTTGCGCAAGATACTCTTTCTCGACATGACCCTATTAATGCATCGATTCAAAGCAATGCGCTTTGACATTTCATATCTTTGGTTCATTGAATGCTGTGAGAACAAAAATACCACCATTCGATTCAGTGTAACTAGATATCCTGATTCGTAGCAATAGTTTTAGTAATGGCAACATTATAGCGATTTATGAGCTTTGAAACTAAAGCGAGATCGTATGTGATCAAATTACGCATTTTACCAACAAATTATAAAAACATAAACATACCTTTAGCCGAATATAACTTCGGCCCCTTGAGACGTATGCACATTGCGATATTCTTCAAGAATTAAACATTTAAAATAACATGTATAGTGTTAATTTCAAGCTTCTATTTTTAAAGGTGTGACTTTTAGTGCCGCATTTTACATTTCTGGTCCGAATTTGCGACAATCCCAACCGCAAATATGACATAAAAATGTCAAAATGCTACACTTGTATCGTGTGACTCTGGAAATGCCAGAAATGGATTCGACAGGTCAAAGTGTACTTATACGTGTGAGTTTGATATCATCCCGGCTAAAGTAAAACCGAGTAAAACCCGATACCTTGAAAAATTCAAAATAAATATTTCTACTCGCCTTATTCATACGAAACTTTCTACACGAAAGCGCTTGAATAAAAAGTATTTTACACATATAGCCTTTCAGAAAATGATGAAAAAGTTTAGAAGATATTCAACTTTTTCTTGTTTGAATGTTTGGTGAAGCGGTCAGTATAAATATATGATTGTTTCGGTTTGTGTAATGTTTTGACTGCACTTGGCCCCTCCGTTCGAAAGGTTATTTTGTGAAGATTACAATGGTGGTAAAGGGGGTAGATACTCGCCGCAATATTTACATTAGAAAAATTGAATTGTAATGTAATGCGAAACCACTTGTCGAGAAAGAGTTAACTTGCTATCAATCTATCCTGAGCCGACCTTATGTCCCCCCCCTCTTGTTCTGGTGGAGCCCCTTCTTAAATTTCTTCGAACTTACAGACAATCATGTACAGTTGGTTGTTCTTCAAGTCGGTCATTTTAGCATCTCAGGGGGCTGGCAAAGCCCTGTTGATCCCCACTCAATGTGGTTGTAGTCCTATGATGCACCACCCGACAGATTTGTGGGTGTTTATGATCGAGTTTTCGTAGTGCAGTTATTAATAACTATACTATAGTGTGTATGTGCACCTATGTTCTGTATAACTACCTGCCTTTACTTTGTGTTATTGTGTTAGACCTAAATAAATCAGTTCAATAATGCACAGGCGTCTGATTGTTTTTGTTTATCCATTCATAGGCTCTCCCTTTCGTCGCAAAATTGTTTTGCCCTTTTGTTCTTCGGTGCCCCTCATGTGGGCATGCGAACGACCATGATTTCAGATTTTGCAAACATTGTGGTTACCGCCGAAAACTACTCAACCGGACACACAAGGGGTCCTCAGGTTACTTGTGACCTTGACCGCATTGATTTCCATTTACATCAATTATTGGCTGTGGATAGTAATACCAACTATGCGAAGCAGAAGAAATCTCTAAAACATAAGTTAGAGTCTTTTTTGCACAAGCTTCCTGCATATGTCACTTTGGAAACTGTCACGACTCGTGATTTATGTTGGTTCCTTATTTACAAAGATGAACATGGTAAGACACAGGTCCATCAACAAGGTTGCCATTCGTGTGGATGTCTGTTGAGGCTGTCCTATAAGTCGATCGATTCCTATATTGGGAAATTGCGAGCTATATTCCACACCTTGGGTCGAGATGGTGCATGGGATAGACACCTTGGATTGGGAAATCCCGCCAGTGACAAATTAGTTCAAGACTATTTGTGGGTAGTTACGGCTGAACAACTCCATGCCAGGATCACACCAAAAACAAACTGCCCCTTTTTTGTCAATAAACTTACCCAATTGTCCTTACATCTCAAAAGGAAACTTAAACAAGCAGAAAAACTCTTGATAAATTTATCGTTGCACGCGATCAGGCTTATTTTAAGATGGCATTTTTTAGTGGGGAACCGGCCTGGTGATTTGGGACACATAACGGACCTGGAAATTTTACGATTCCCTAATGATGATGGTTTCCTGTGTAATCATGTCTGGGGTAAAACCCTAAGGGACGGAGATAGTAATGTATTTGGTATCAGAAGGAATCCTCAGATTGTGATTTGTCCGATTAAGGGTCTCGAGCTGTATATGGATACAGCACGTCAACTTGGTATTGATCTGATTTGCAGCCATCTCTTCCGACCAACTGCTTCTAATGGTAGTATCAAAGACAATTCCCTTCACTTCTACTGTGGAAGCACGTCTGAAGACCTATTTACGTGAAATGAAGGCAGACGAGGGTGAGACACTCCATGGTTTTCGATCAGGATGTGCAATTACTTTGGCTCTTTCTGATGCGGACCTAATGAGATAATGAGATGAGATAATGGATCATGTGGGCTGGTCTAGACGTCACACTGCATTGAATTATATGCAGCTGGCTAAGGTCTTGAATCCCACTGAGGCCTACTGTGCAGTGTAAAGCATCTAATGTTGGTGTGGATCCATCCCATACTTTGCAGGACATGAACAAATGAAAGCTTGTGCTTTTCCAACTGCAAGTTTCCACAAGTGACCTCATTTGGATGATTGATCCTAACTGATATATAATAGAATAGTATACACATTTTGTATGCGACACTATTTTGGAGAGGTTTGGGATATTGGGGTTTGGGGTGAAGTGTGGGAATGGGGATGGGAAAAAGATGTTGGGGAGTCAGCTAAGACAGACAAATGATGGGTGATGCTGACTTACAGTTACTCCCATTCCTTATTCAAACTGAGCAAGAAGAAGAGTGTTATGAAATAGATTACTATTCATAACACTCATGATGAGATGAGATGTGAAGTTAGGATAAGGAATAATAGCCAATTAATGTGAATAGATGCAGATAGATACGTCCATTACGTCATTAGATAGCTATAAATACAGGTTTTGGTGAGAGAACACTCACTTCTGGCTTAGTTTAAAACTGCAGTCCCACCACTCCATTCATGTGGGTCAGACGCCAGGCTGTTCCAGCCTGTCTGGGACCTGCTGACTACAGTTACTCCCATTCCTTATTCAAAGTTTTATTTCAGTGTTATGAAATAGATTACTATCCTTGAAGCCAAACTGTACTCAAACAATTTTTTTCAAGTGCAAAACCAAAGAATAATGATGAAAGACATATATTTACATATCAAGCTTCATTTAGCGTAGTGTAACGTGATTTTATCTGTTAATATCAATAAATAGGTTTACTGACAAAGTATGCACGATTTTGACACATTTTCAAATTTTACAAAGTTTGCGAGCTTGTCATTTTTGTCAAATGGTAAAGCTGAAAGATATCATTGGCGATATGTGTTGACTAATGTTAGCAGTTTATAGAAACGTTATGTGCCAATCAAGTGCCACGATTTTGAAATAAGCTTCCAAAGTTGATATATTTTGAGACGATATCTGTTATCCATGCAGGAGGGTCAATAACTGTGTTGATATTTCACAAATTTTTGCAGGTAGCCTGATATGTCAGGGGTTCCAAGGTTCGATAAATATACATTGTTTTACTTGGCAACAGCACAACACAGAATTTTGAAATGAAAATTATAATTGTGAATTTTTAATAGTCATTGCATACATGAAGGTCATTTCCAAAATTAAACAAGATATGGACATAATTTATTACAAGGATCACACTTATCCCAACGCTTATCCTTCTGTTATCCACGAGGTCCACCAAATATATTTACCCAATTGCAAAGCCAGAGAGGTGAATATATTTGACTAATAATTAGCTATGTTGAAATAAGATGCACAATTGAAGCGACAACGTCACAGAACTTCATTCAACGTCATTGTGTGAAATGCTGTTTATTGTGAATTTGTGATCAGGGAACTATTTCAAGCTGAAGCAACCAACATCTGTGGGAAACGGTATGTTTTATACAAATTCTAGTGTTTGTAGAAGTATATATTTTGCCATTTCCCTCTTCACAACATTTGTTGAAATCATTTGGAATATGTTTCAAATTACATGGTGTGTTATATATTTTTTACCCCACTGGTATGTAGGAAATGCAACTACCAGAAAAATACGAACAGATCTTCGCTTGAAAGGTTCTGTTTCGTTTATATATATTTCTGGTAGTTGTATCTCTTACACGATGCTGTTGTAATTTTGTTGTATAAATATAATATGTATCATATTAAATATCAACTATAAAATGACTGCAGCAGTCTAGCACAAATAGATTTGACACACACTGGTAGTGCATGCTGTTTGTTTTGAGATTCAAAATTATTTCCAAGGAAATATTAACCAACATGAAGCTTCAAAGCGAAAATCTATCTCGTGATCCGAATGATCTTCAAAGTTCGAAAAGGCGTGATTTATACTTATAAAACAAAATGCACCTCTTGTAAATGTTCTGTGGCGCTAGGTAGCCCAAAAATCAGTGGTAATTAATTTCTGTTCAATAAAAACTATTTCTTTCTGTGTATTTCTGCTTTTATACAGAGCATTTATCAAAACTACCACTCAGTTTCCGACTGCATTGTTCACAAATACCTGTGTATTTATTCAAAATATACAAGAAAGTTTTTATTCAACAGGAATTTTTTGCCAGTTATTTTTGGGCTACCAGTAGGATGTGGCTTGGTTTTTTGCTGCTGTTAGGTTGAAACCCCAGTTACATGATACCGGATTCACATCGGAGCGACATCAAATTTTACTACCTCAAGATGAATTTGGCACTTAAAACTATGATAATATAACATATTTAAACAAAACTTCAAATATGAAAAGTTGTAAGAGCAGACAAGACTGGAAAAGACCTTAAATTTATGCCGTTCTGATACGAGTCTGGTATAGTGTAACTGGGGCCTGAGTGGCAAATTTTTGGCAAGGCCAGTGTGAAAGCTGTGCTCTAAATCAAACACATGCATGGCCTGCTTGTTCATGCTCCAATCGAGCTATCTGGTCAAGTCAATTCAAATGTGTCGTACTTTGCAACTCAATCTATTTGATATTTGTATATCTAGTGAACTAATTAATGTTGACGGTAGTGCTTATGGTCTAGAATTTAGTTGTTTTAGTGTGAGTGTGTGCACACCACTGATATACACTAAGACTGGACAGAGCATTGTAATAGAAGGCCCAATCAAAAAGTGAAGCCAGAAGTACGTCATGTTTTGAGACCGGCCGCCATGTTGAATGGCCCCACTTGAGGAGTGAAAGACTATAGATTCTATTGTAAAAACGGACATTTTTCGAACTTTTCGCCTTACACTTGCTAAGTATGCGAAGAAATCGAGTATTACAAGAACATCATAGAAGAATGAAGAACATTCGAATGTTGAAAGAAACTAAATCGCAGGTAAATAATTTGATATTTTCACCCACTGGTTTTGATCGTCGGAATATCAGAGCCGACCGAATGTCAGAACACAGCACTATACTCTGCAGATTACAAAGTAATTGTGATTTTTCAGTATAAAATAGTCACTTACTACCATACTAAAACAATTACTTAAGTTTTGAGTGACTAGGTAGGTTTTAAGCGGCATAACATGATCATAGTGTGCAGTGTAAATGTAATTGACATTTTATGCCTTGGCTGGCAAATTTGCTTTAATAGACTAACTGGCCTGGGTGCTGGCCAAACTACACCGGAGATATGCCAACATATGCAATAGTTCACGCCATTACAATGGAGATTTTAACTTTGAGGACCAAAATCCATGTTAAAATGGCTAACCTGTCAATACCATCTGCATTTTAATCTCCATTTCTACCATTTAAATAATGAAAAATATTGTAGATTCAGAGTGTTGTGGGTTTAGCTGGTCAAAATGAAGAAAATAAGTCCATTTTGATACATGTCTCAAATCCCTGATTGGCCCAGGAGCCTTGTTCTCGTGAATCTTTAGCAGTTAATAGCAAATATCCTTCTGTCTTGTTTCATGGGATTGAATACTTCCAGGCCAAGGAAGTGTTTGTGATAAAATTACCAAACAGGAAACAGGTGCATTGGGAGATGAGACCTAAAGGGGTAATATAGTGAAGGGAGTAAGTGTTGAGGAATCACCGAACAAATGTAAATTTGCATGAAGATTTCATTAGTAAGTAGTTGGTAGTCAATACAATAAGCAAATACGATAGTAATTAAATTGTGCAGCTTTAATTTGACCAGTATTAGTATTCACAAGTTTATTTATCTCAAAGCATCTCTGAATACAATATCCTTGAATACAAATTGTCAAATAAGCTGCCAACTATTACATTGATTGGAGCATTGACTGCACAAACAGTCCACAAGGAAATCCACTACCATGAGTGCTGCAATGTTCTTGGCTGTTAAGTCAGCATTCTGTCTTCCCAACTCCTGCAATTAAAATATCAGGGTAATCTAATGTGCCTTCATTATTCACAGAACTTGATGATCACCACATGGGGTCATCCATTTAGTTCAAATGTCTCAAATGCAAGGGAGTTAAACTTTTTTCAATTATCGTCTGCCACACACAAATTAATTAATAGAAGTTTCATATAACTCAAATATAAAATTATCCCATCACGATTTAAGTTTTGACGGCCATGACAAAGGTCATATTATTAATGCAAAAAGTACCTGTTTTATTTTACAGCAGTCAGTATTGCTGTTAATTGTACCGCCTAACTTGTTCAGTTAGTCAAGCTGCTTTGTACTTTGAATCAGAATTCCTAACTAAATGATGCAACACTTGAATATGATCTAATCCTTGTCCTTTTGGCCTCCATTGACGAGTCTGGCGTTCACATCTTCAGTCCTCGCACAGTCGCACTCATTATTACGACGCAAAACTTCGGATTGGCGATAACACGTTGGGTATCTTGTCGTTTTTCTTGTTTAAATAAAGAGCTCTGACTCGACTGATTTCTTTAGTCTCACAAGTTATTTTCTTCGTAAATGCCATACAAACACCCGCTTCTGTATAATACTATAATAATTGTTTACAAATTTAATACGCTTTATTGATCTGATGCAATTTTTATTCTTTGTATTGAGTGTAGCCATCAATTCTGAGGTGTAGCACCTTATACAGTCAATGTACAGTATAATAAATACACGGTCTAAATCATATGGTCTACATAATATCGATAGGCACTTACAGTAATAAATAACAATGATAACATCAATTATATATTGCGTAGAATCGGGAAAGTTTCTCTCAATATTCATGTCTGAAATGTTTATATATTTGAAAACAACACTGTCTCGCTGCTTCCTACCTGCTACCTCCATATAATGAGTATACCGTGAAAATAATATCGGCACTCAATTCAATGTCTAGAGTCTCAAAGCATGTGCATTTGTGCTGCTAAAACAAATTTGGTGTTCCGGGGTAAAGATCCTTTACACAACATGAGAAGCGAATGTTATAAAATTTACAAAAAATTACAATAACAAAAACGATTCCTCTAAATTTTTGTGAACTTGGCAAAATGATAAAAGAATATTTAAATAAGACAACTGAAATTGCCTAAATAACTTTCAAAGCACTGACTAAGTACAATAAACCACTACGAACATAAATCGTAAACACCACCAGGAAAGTTTACTCTATGACTGACTGACTGACTTGTGAAGTTTCGCCACAGTCATCACAATACTGTGAAATTTCGAAGAAACTTCACACTAAATAGTACAAATTCAGTAAATTTGCAATTTCACCCCAACCTGGCTTCCTGACATCAATATTGATGGTAAAACCTGTATGTTTTTGTTACGATGTCGCAGCCTAAGTGCTCTAAATTACCAAGATGTAAAACTCAGAGCAAAATGTTATCAATGAGAGGTTTATGCTCAAGCAACGAAAATTGAGTTTCCATGGTTAGAGGCAGTGCATCACAGTTACATTGTAGTACAATTGATGCACAGTCCTTTAATGCTAAAATATTGTTAATCTTAAATCACTTCAGTAAGTACTTTGCACTTTTTAGTTTGTACACGAAGAATTTATCGTATGTGATCGATCATAGACAGACAGGCCATATTATAAGTTCTTTGTATGTTTGCATGGCGAAAAATATAATAGTTTTGTTTGTGGAAACACCACATAAATTTATTACTGCAAATAAAAAAATTTTTAAAAAATTAATTACTTCATTCATTCATTATTGCAGTAATAAATTTACGTGGTGTTTCCACAAACAAAACTATTAGGCCATATTATATTTCAAAAACAACGTTCGCAACATAATGAGCAGGTAGTTACAGTTTCACCAGTGTACAGTATGATCATTCTGGAGCCTGTTACTTGAACCTGGGTCTTCTGTTCCTCACAGCAAAAACCCACGTAGGGTAGGTCGGGTTAATTTTTTTAGAAATGTTCATGCTTGAGAGTGATATACTTAATCAATTGCAGCGGTGCAGATGGCACAAACATTAATTAAATGTTGTATCAACTTTGAAGCAAACAGGTTATACTCTACATAACCAGTACAAAACTAACGCCATGAACTGGGTACGAAGAGTTGTTGTTCATATAGGATTATTGTTGTCTTGGCTAAATTCTTAGCTTTTTGTCGACTCAGCCAACAGGCTATTACTGTCGAGATTCCAGTCCAGATCTTGATAACTATGCCAATAACCAGATGTAATACTAAAAAATGTCATTGTAGTACAATTGTTTGCACAGTCTTTTAATGCTAAAATATTGTTAATCTTAAATCACTTCAGTAAGTAATTTGCATTTTTTAGTTTGTACGCAAAGAATTTATCATATGTGATCGATCATAGACAGACAGGCGATATTATATTTCAAAGACAATGTCTGCAACATGAGCAGGTAGTTACAGTTTCAGCAGTGGACAGTATGATCACTCTGGAGCCTGTTACATGAACCTGGGTTTTCTGTTCCTCAGCAAAAACGTGGGTAGGGTAGGTTGGATTAATTTTTTTAGAAATGTTCATGCTTGAGAGTGATATACTTCATCAATTACAGTGGTGCAGATGGCACAAACATTAATTAAATGTTGTATCAACTTTGAAGCAGGTTTACACTACGCTCAATTTCTGGTACTGCACAGATAAAATTGGTACCCATACCACTTTTTTGGTTTTTGGACTACCTATATTTTGAGCCCTGTTTACACTACGCTCGATTTTTGGTACCGTACCACTTTTTTGGTTCTTGGACTACCTAAATAGGTAGTCCAAGACTCAAAAAAGTGATATGGGTACCAATTTTATCTATACCGTACCAAAACTTGAACGTAGTGTAAACAGGGCTATAGTTAAGGACGTTTGCAGGCTGATGAGGAAGAAGTAGATGGCATGCATGCTGGAGACCGACGTTTAGGCAATGCCTCCCAAATTGTCGTACCGACAAGCCCTGATAATGCAACATTTAAATACGTAAATTATGAATAACATGTTCAATATGATAATGCAATTACTATACGTTGTATGGTTTTATAATCATTCATTTTATTTTCCAGAAGATCTTTGTGCTTTGGCACTAATTCAGTTAACAGCGACTTTTCCAATTGCGAAAAATGTTGTCTAGCTTCAGCCATATTGTTCAGCAACACCGTACGAATGCAATGACAAGTCTACAACCATCTCACTAGTTTATATACCTTCTATCGTTAATTGTACATAACATCAAACCCAAACTCCAGCAAGTCACACTCGAGTGAGCTCTTTGAATACAAATCTAGCTAATATATTCAAGGGTGAGTGCTCCCTCATTGAGTGGACACTCACACTCATACTCCACACTCACACTTCAACCCTACTTGAGTGCATCTCATTCGAGTCACACTCAAGTGTGAGTGACCTTTTTGAATACAGGCGTATGTGTCTCAATTTTATGGATGTAGGATATGTGAGAAGCAACAATTGTCTTAAAATCGATCCATGCAAGAAAGACAGGCACGTGTCTCTGGATAACATTTACCTCTGCATTTTGGCAACAGACACCAAGGCTGCCATCAAACAAGAACTTGGTGACAGAGATCAAACTATAGATCTGGTTTATTCCCAGTGTCGAAAGTTCTTGATCATGGGTGTGTGCAGTAAATCCAATCCCGATTTAGTGATTATTTGATTGTTAATTGTGGCGAAAATTTTTTAAAATTTTCATGCAAGGGCAAGCCCCCCTCCCCGCGCGATTTTTACAGTCAAAACGGAAATAACTGCACACTTCAGTTACTGTAGTAGTTTGTTGTGTAATACTGTATTTCTGTAGAAGCTCGGAAAAATTTACGGAAAGAAGCCACTTATTCTTAACTTATGTTTGTTTGTAAGCATTATTTTGGAGGAATATGTGTTGGCTAATCAATAAATTCGACAACAGCTATTAGTCATAGCTTAATGCACGATTTTTGAATAAACATTTTTTTAGCAGCTACAGAAATACAGTATTACACAACGAACTACACAAGCGAAAGTGTGCAGGTATTTCCGTTTTGACTGTAACTATCAGTCACAGCCGGCTACTTTTTTGGTACAGCCGCCTACTTCAAATCATTCTGAAACCCCTGGCAGCTGAGGAAAGATTTTTTGAAGATTAACATTGCAAGATGGGTCAAGATTGCTAATACTGTAATACAGCAATACTAATGCACATGGCACTTGTCTTTGCACAATTTTACAACTGAGAAATGTTGTTGTTGCACATGTTCAATAATTGAGGAGATAGGGAAATATTCTCTACATTGTCATATTTTTTGTCACAACTGTTGTTGACAACAAATTCACTATTAAATTGATATGGATAATTGTTTAGAAGTAAATTTGTATTGATTTAAAGAGTATTTTATTGATTTCTAACAAGTTAAACACTGCAATGAATATTATAGAATATATAATTAAGTAGATTGACTAAACGTTTTCTTAAGGAAATTCTATTCCTTGATCAAGGAAATCTAAGGAAATTTTGACACAAATCTCCGGCATTTTAAAATTTAATAGTAGAAGCACTGAGTAAAATTGTCTGGCATTAGACAGAGTAAAATATTAAAGTAGGGCACATCAGGGTGCATATTGCCACTTAAAGGGTTAAGCCATGACGATAACGTACCCTATCCTTTGCATGTTTGTTTCAAGTTAATTAAACAGAGCAAAATCATACATAATTTAGTATTCAATTTGAGACCAAAAACTGTTTAAAAGCATTCTGTGGGTGCCTGATGTTATGGTTGAATTGTAAATAACCCAGCTAACACAATTACGTTTTAAAAACGTCGTGGAAACGTTGGACTTACGTTATATGAACGTTCTGGGACAACGTTGTGACAACGAAAATTTATAGACAGCAGAAAACGTTATCGCAACGTTGTAGCAAACGTAGCGAGAACGTAACTTGAACGTTGTCAAAACGTTTCTAACACGTTATAAGGACGTCCAATTTTAACTTTGTGAAAATGTGGTAAAAACGTCGTGGGAACGTTACGACTTAACGAAAGCCTCAAGGTACGTTTACACACATGATTTGCCGGCCGATTCAGCTTTAACTATATGATATTTGAAAAAATTGCAGCATTCGTTAAAACCTGAAATTGGCCAGATTATAATCCCTGTGTGTACACGTAGCTTAACACAGCCTAATTGCACCAGAACCATTGCGTACTTTAATATTCTTTCGCGAATTTTCTGACTACGTCGGCAAATTCGAGAAAGGAAATTAAAACGGGAAATGATTGTTGTGTAATAAACGCGGTTGTTAAGAATATTAAAATAAAGTAAACATAAATTTTTCTAAATATTTATTGACACAAAATGTTAAATGACTTCACATTAACTATTTACATAAACTTTAAGAACTATTAATAAATACATTAGTATATAAGGAAAGAATATGCACAACATTAAAAATTACTTGATCTACCAAATGATCTATCAAATATCATCCTTTTATAGAATCCCGGCAACGTTCTATAACATTCGAAAAAAAAAATTCTATTAATTATGAAATGAAGTGGGTTTAGCCAATACTGCATTCTGATTGGTTAGCTATACTGGCTATATATCAACATCTAGCTGTAACATTGTGATTTTATGAACTGAAAACTTGATTAGTGATACGGTCCATTAGAAAAAAAACTGGAATTAGCTGGGGAAAATGGTATAAAAACTGTTTAAGACCTACAGAAAATATATAATTTATGTACAGTTCATTCAAAAATAGGTTTTCCTTTGAAAACCTTCAACTCAAAACCTTAAAACTTAAGCAGTATGGCGAAAGCGTCGTTTTTGGGTGTGGTCAGTTTCGGACGTTTCGCCCCGGATTGGGGTTCGGGCAGCGTTACCATGCTGACCGTCATGGTCAACTTGCCCAAAACATTTGAGGTTATCTGTCCTAAATGAAATGCATACAAACTCATATACAGGTCCTAGACTACTTTAACAAATGCTTTTGCAGGTGCATCACAGACAACACACCTGAGAGAAACTTTAAGAACCTTTGAACCGCAACTTAAGCCTTGCTTTAACACCATATTCAGATCTCTCACAGTGTCATGAAGAAAATCTAAATTCTTAGGTTTTGACTTGCCATACGTTAAAGCAATTGGGAATATTCTAACTGGGGTAAGGTTCATAATACCACAGAGAACTGGCCATAAACTACTTTGTGAACTTTTGAACAAAGGAATGCCATCAATGTTCAAACTTATCTCTAAAGTATCAACAGAGTCTTTAACACTGTCTGGATAAGACTGGAAATTCTCCAAGAGTGCCTTTTCCAATGGGAAGTAAACATACTCCATCTCAGACTTATGGCCAATAGAAACAAGCCTTGGTGTAGCCAATAAAGCCCTGGCAGTGCTTGGCAATCCAGAATGGCCAGGCTGTTTAAGTAATTTAAGGAGCCCATCAACTGCATTGTGTTTTACTTGAACGTTATTCACCCAAGTTCCAACTCATCTTTCAAACTGTAATTTTCTAATTGATCAGAATCGTCAGACAAACAAGAATTATCACTGATGCTGTCAGTGCCTGAAACACTGTGGTGAGCAGGTGCGTTTGTGCAAATTTCATCTATGTCAATTGTTTCTTCAATTAATATCACTGTTTCAATAATCAATTTTACAGAAAAACCTTCTTATGAAGTGTAGACCCTAAGCAACCTAAAAATGTCAAATATTCACTTTGATCTATCATTGAAACTTTTGCAAGGGGAGGTGCATGACTTTTTAGGGGAAGTGCAAAAATTCCCGGGGAAGGCGCAAAACAATATCAGGGGAGGTGCGCCCCGCAAAATCCGGCCTTGGTTTGTCTCACATTATGACATCACACTGTGTATCTATAACTGAACAGACAATGACAAAATCTTAATCTATTTGTTAATTAAACATATATAATTATAATTACGATAATAATACATATATAATTACAATCGAGGCCATATTTCAACTTAATAGGTGGAGAATTTGAAATAAAGTAGAATAAATTACATTTGCATATTTAAGCAGTAGTGGACCTTCCTTTGTTACTTTACTCTGCCTGACACAAAACTTTTTTTACTCTGATCGACACAAAAGACTCATTGCTTTGGGCAATTTGTTATTTGATGCTTGTGATGTTACTCTGAGTGTGTATCCACATCGGGCAAACTTGAAAAATATGCCTGGCCACAGTGGGAATCGAACCACTACAACCTTTGGAATACTAGCCCAATGCTCTGCCAATTGAGCTATGTGATATTTCGGAACATAATCTAGTTCCTTTGATATCAATGTAGTCTAGTAATCATAATTTTTTCTGTGGTGGTGTAATGTACTCAGGTGAATATGATGCTTGAAAACACATGAAATTGCTTGATGCTTTGTAAACACATGAAATTAAACCTTAATTTTACTCGGCCCCATGCAGTCACATATACAAATTTGAATAAAAATCCCAGTATGTACACAAATAATGTATTCAAATACTGCGGATTCAGGTTGAGTGTTTAATGACGTCAAGATTATGTGAACATTGAAACAGAAAAACACAGGTGTTGACAAGTGACAAATTACTTGTTGCTATGAGAGAATGTCTGTAAACAAACAGTTTTTTAAATGTGGCGTGCAAACAATTATGGTCGACTAGTTATGCCCGAAAACCCTTTATCCGAAGACTAAGGTTGTTAACAAAAGGAAATATTATTAGCAATGGATGTGATCCCGAAACAGGAGCTTTTCCTGGAAAATTCATAAAAGTAGACGTCCCATTGGGATATCGTCAGCCATTGTATCAAAAATTTGGAAACGTTTATACTGCAGAGATAAAATAATTTCTTCTAAGCCAAATGCGGATAACAATGGTCTTCTTGCCTGTGTTTAATAATCTCATTATTTGAAATTTAAAATACTTCGATGATAAGTCAATTTCTACACACGAGAAAAGATCATCATATGTTAAAGATAGCAATATATAGATAGCAATAAATATACGGGTTATTCAATTGTTACAATAATAATTGTATACAACTTGAATTTCAGGAGATTATCCATATTTTTGCATTACAGTGTAAATTCTAAACATATATATTCAATTCAAAATGTCACCGCTGGTCCGCTCCCTCATAGCAACAAGTAATTTGCCACTTGACAATGCCCATGTTTTTCTGTTGCAATGCTCACATGATCGTGACGTCATTAAACACTCAACCTGAATCCGCAATAAACTGACCATAATGTATACAGGTCATAATAAATTAGTATTTTTAAATTTTAAAAAAATATATTTTTTGGTTGTTATAACGATGTTGGCTCAATATTTATAACAATATGCAATAAATGAAAGCAGGCTGCCATGTGCAGTCAAACCTTAAAATAGCCAAATAGACTTGAATGATACAGTAAGAGACAAAGAGAATGTACTTTGAGCTTTGACAAGCAGGAAAGCTCAGATTCTGCACCAAATGCAAAGTTAGTAGTCATATTAACTGCCTGAAAATGTAGCCACAAAATAAGTTTCAAGATATAACAATAGTAATCCCAACAATTATAGTGCGTCTATAGTATAGGTGAAATTTTAATAAAATTTCACCTATACTATAGACGCACTATAATTGTTGGGATTGCTATTGTTTTATAGGTACATGCGGCTATGAAAACGCCAATTTGTTAACGCTAGGCTTTATGCGGTAAATAGGGCAAAAACGACTGAAACTTCCAAGGTTAGCGACACCATCTTGTCAAGTGGGGCAAACATAATACTGAAAACAATATATTCAAGATGGCGTCCCTATTTACAACCAACGGTGTGTATAAATTCTAGCTGGTCGAGATCTGATAACAAAGAATAGTAAACCAAGAAGTTCAATGCCTTCAAGGCAACTATATGTAAAAGTACACTACACAGTCCGCAAATTTTGAATGATTCGTGTAAATAAATGCAAAATATATTTGTGATTGTCTGGCGAGTGCGAGTCACATGTATTAATTAAAAATAATTCACGACAAATATCTTAATCTGAAAAAATATTAAAATGTTATATCAATATATATATATATGGCTACACTACTGATACAAAATATCATAAGTATCACTTACGTTTACGTAGAAGAAATATAGGAGAGTCAAGGAAAGTCCAAGTATTAAAATCTTCAATCTAGTTTTATATCTTGCCCACCAGATGCCGACGCGCAGCTTAAATTATGCGCATATATGCAATGAAGGATCAAATTATATATTCATATCAAATTTCGCAGACGTCCGACTTTTTTTAGCCAATTAAAATCGAGTATTTTTGATCCGCGAAAACCGCGAAACTCATGTGTCTATAATATTAGTGACTTCGCACATAGTTCACATACAATTTGGATTTTGCCAAAATTTTGCCTTTTTGGTGACATATGGTGACTATATAGGGATTTAGTCAATGACAATTAATGCAACTGAAACAAATAACTGATGTATGAGTTTTAACTTTAAAACCATATAAAATTTAAAGTTTATCACCACCGATGGCTGATAAACCGTTCAATTACCAATTCAAACTTGAATTTAATAATATCAACAAAACATTCTCCATATATTGTCATTGAATTCAATATGAACGTTAATTTTAATAGTACGTCAAACCTTTACAGAACGTCACGACGACGTTTTCTTGTAATTAAAATTTCACGTTATTACGAAACAATATCACAACGTCATTACAACGTTGCTGATCAAGCGTTCTTGTCACGTTGCATTCATGTGTAAGTAAAACGTTTTTACAACGTTAGTATTCAAACTTTCTAGCCACGTTGTATTCATCCGTAATTAAAACGTTTTCACAACGTTAGTATTCAAACGACAACGAAGACAAAGTTGTCAAAAGGTTGTCACAATGTTAGGTCCGACCTAACCAAATTACAACCTTCCAAAAACGTTTTTACAACGTTATGTGTTAGCTGGGAAGCGATATAAAGGAACTGTATAAAGCCACTTTCTGCATAGACAGTATATGTAAAATTATTGCAAAACGTGTTTGAGGAACTGAAGCAAGCAACATGTTTTTTAGTGTGACCATGACCTTCAAGCAAGCTTGCAACATATTTCGCATACCTAAACCAAAAGGCAACCTCAAATTCCTTTGATTGCCAGATTTTCTGTACATATAATACACACAAACAAGCCTTTGCACAACGACCATGTTTGCTTTTTTTGAATACGAAAAAGATTTTGTAACATGTTCGAGGCAAGCTTTAATGTACACTTGTACAAGTATTAAATTATTTACCAGTGATAAAGGCACATACGAATTTCCACTGATGCAAGTCGAAAGAGCACCAAACAAGGCCGATTTACATTCTGCGTAGAATATACAGTACATCATTCACCAATTTATATTTGCGCACCCTGTAAATAATGCATTAATGCAGTATGGCAGTTGGTTATATGAACAATACATATATAATTTAATTGTGCGAATAGTTGTGTGAATGCACACCAGGATATTTTGTGATTATATTTTATCCCCGAGCCGGGTACTAATTCCCCCCCCCAGGTACTAATTTACACCCAGGGAAACGAAAGCATTAGCGAAGTCTAAAGTTCATCAATTATCGCGGCCGTGGGTCACCAACCATGGGTGGTCATCCTCACTGATCTCAAAAATATGGTGGACTGTCATGAATAGCAGACACTGATTGGTCCAATTTAAAGTTTGCATTATAACGACTGCATGGCGACAGCGAAATAGCAAACATTTCTTGATTTGATGATTGGTAAATTTCTTGCAAATATATTTCATTTTTGCTTGCATTTTTGCAACATTTTGTAAATTTCAAAAAAGAAAGGGTGAAAGAATAGGCTAAAAGAAGGGAGCCGATGTTACCGAAGGTAAGTTTGTTTTAAATATTGATTCCCGACGGCCTTTGCGTATATGAAACAACTAAACAAGA